CACCCGCACCGACCTTCCTTGCACTCGAGGGCCACCCGCGACTCGAGGTTGTCCATCTGCAGCTGCAGCCGCTTGAGCGTGCGGTCGGCGTCGCGCGACTTGCGCTTGTACGCGATGAGGACGGCGACGATGACCAGGAGCAGGAGGCCGCCGCCCCCGCCGATGCCCACGGCGGCCGGCAGCGTGAGCAGGCTGTCCGAGTACACCTGCAGCGTGCCCGGCGAGAACTCGAAGCCGCCCGCCCGTACCTGCAGGGGTGGGGGGGACACAGGCTGCTCAGAGACCCGCCGCCCGGGGAGGGAGGCCGAGGCGGGAGGATCGCTGGAGGCCGGGAGGTCGAGGCCGGCCTGAGCAAGAGCGAGACCCCGTCTCAACTAAAAATAGAAAAGAAATTAACTGGCCACCTGAAAACATATAGGAAAACTGCAATCCTAGCATACTGGGAGGCCGAGGCGGGAGGATCGCTCGAGGTCAGGAGGTGGAGGCCAGCCTGAGCAAGAGCGAGACCCCGTCTCTACTAAAAATATAGAAAGAAATTAATTGGCCAATTAAAAATATACATAGAAAAAACGAGCCGGGCGTGGTGGCGCGTGCCTGGAGTCCCAGCTACTCGGGAGGGAGGCCGAGGCGGGAGGATCGCTTGAAGAGGTTGGGAGGTTGAGGCCGGCCTGAGCAAGAGCGAGGCCCCGTCGCTACTAAAAAATAGAAAGAAATGAGCTGGACGACTAAAAATATATAGAGAAAAAATGAGCCGGGCGTGGTGGCGCATGCCTGGAGTCCCAGCTACTCGGGAGGCTGAGGCAGGAGGATCGCTCTCGAGGTTGGGAGGTCGAGGCCGGCCTGAGCAAGAGCGAGACCCCGTCGCTACTAAAAAAATAGAAATTAATCGGCCAAGTAAAAATATATAGAGAGAAAACGAGCCGGGCGTGGAGGCGCATGCCCGGAGTCCCAGCTACTGGGGAGGGAGGCCGAGGCAGGAGGCTCGCTGGAGGCCAGGAGTTGGAGGCTGCCTTGAGCGAGGCTGACGCCACGGCACTCTAGCCCGGGCGACATAGTGAGACTCTGTCCCCGAATCCAAACCAGGCCTGTGTGTCCGGGGTTGGGCCGGCGGGAGGGACCGAGGAGTCCCAGGGAGGAGGCCAGGCAGCAGGGATGGAGGAATCCCGGGGCAGAGGCCGGGTGGGAGGGACCGAGGAGTCCCAGGGCGGAGGCCGGGCGGGAGGGACCGAGGAGTCCCAGGGCGGAGGCCAGGCGGGAGGGACCAGGGAGGCCCGCCCGGGGCGGAGGCCGGGTGGGAGGGACGGGGAGGCCCAGGGAGGAGGCCGGGCGGCAGGGACCGAGGAGTCCCGGGGCGGGGGCCGGGCGGGAGGGACGGGGAGGCCCGGGGCGGAGGCCGGGCAGGAGGGACCGAGGAGTCCCGGGGCGGAGGCCGGGCGGCAGGGACGGGGGAGTCCCGGGGCGGAGGCCGGGCGGGAGGGACGGGGAGGCCCGGGGCAGAGGCCGGGCGGGAGGGATGGAGGGAGGAGTCCCGGGGTGGAGGCCAGGCGGGAGGGACCGGGGAGTCCCGGGGCGGAGGCCGGGCGGGAGGGATGGGGGAGGCTCGGGGCGGAGGCCGGGCGGGAGGGCCGGGGAGGCCGGGGCGGAGGCCGGGACGCACCGTGACCTTGTGCTGGCCGGTGAGGTTGGGGGCCTCGCAGAGCAGCTGCGTGTCGGACACGGTGAGGCTGCAGGGCGTGTCGCCGATGAGCACCGTGAAGTTGAGCCTCGCGTTCCCGGGCGCCGCGGGCAGCAGGTTCCGGCCCTGCGGGGGGGC